CGGTCGGTTTTACTTCGGAGTTTCTAATCTAACGCTTAAGGGGCAACCCCTTTCGTGATTAATAATACGGACTTTTCTCAGCCCTTTGCATACGTACTGTACGTCGCTTTAACTTTCATCCCCACGCAGTATAAACCCACTCTTCGTTCGTTCTCGGGTACGAAAATGGGATTCAACCCTTTGTTTCGTCCTTTATCTTAATTGCTTTTCGTATTTAGATCAATACCACGGACCTCGCCTGCTGTCTCTGTACTGCCTTCACGAAACGCTCTTATCCCATTGGATTTAATTTTTTTTTCATCCCTCGTCTCGTTTTGAAAAAAAATCTCGAAAATCATCTCTTTACACGCATTTCATCATCCCTCTTTTTCAATCTTGTCAAATTATTCGGTAAATTTTTTTTTTTTTCATTTTTATCAACCCCCTACGAATTCTTTCGCAGGACGGTCAAAGACTTCCTAGTTCTGAAACACCATGTTTCCGTTTATACACTTTACAGGTATAGCGCGTGCAACATACGTCTCTATATATATATATATATACACGCAGCGTGCTATAGTAGCCCAGTGCGGTGTATACACTGCTGGCGGGCCGTCTGAGTCGTAAAATGTTAACTGCTAGTAAAACTGAGTTTACGTGCTTGTAAGGACCCCCCAGGACCTCAGCGAGTCTCCCGTGGCATAAGGACTTCCCTTACGGGCTAATGGGCAGATTATTGGGTGAGAGTATCGAGGGCGGTAGAAATCCACCCTCTCTTACCTTCGGCACACTCCCAGCCCACCGACTCGAGCATAATTGTGCGTTTACGATTAAATCCCATTGCTTCGAAAAGACAGCGAATTCGCACCCCTCGCCGAACAACATGGCGGATTCTCTCTCGCACGTCCTTGCCTCGTAAGGCGCGGGCTCACGTGGAAACTGTCCATCCGGTTGACCGTCGATTTAACGACACTTCTCGTACGTGGACTTGTAGGGTTGAATTTTTGTTTTCTTTCAGAACCCGTCGAACTACCCTCGTATCGCCATAAAACGCTTTTTATTTCCGTTTCGCGCGCCATTCTCGAGTGAAATAAAGTTACGGGGTGGTTTTTATTTTTAATTAGCCCCCACTCCTACAGAAAACTTATCTCCAACGGGTACCGGAGCCTTGGTTAAATTTTAACGCTACGGCACTGTCTTTACAGCGTTAACCTTCTGGCTACCCTATTTCTACCCAACCTACCCCTCCCCCACCCTCAATCCTTTTTCTCTGTCCAATCCCATCACGCTCCCTGAAATTGCTTCTCGCAAGATACTCCAAGCCCCAGCCTATGGTGGTGAAATAATTTCTCCAGGATTCCCCACTCCCCACCTCCCAGTCCCTACCCCTCATTTCCCTAGTCCCAGGTGCGTCGTTGCGAAACTCGGTGCCCCCCTTACTTCTACCGACTGCCTTGGAAAAGTAACGTCTAATTGTTACACACTTCGTATAAATGCATTACTACCGTGCATTCGTTTCACGGATCCGTGAACTTTGACCTGAACTTTTACTCCGTTGTGCACCCCCCCGCCCCTGCCTTTTACAGTACTCATTCGCCACTTCCGGTCGTGCATTCAGGGTATTCCAGGGCAATTCAGGAACCCACCGAGACAAGTACCGTGAAATTGTACGGACGTGGTTCTATTTTACTTAGTAGCTACGTTACTATAGTACTGGCAGTCTGAGTTCCTAAGGTATATCGTTGTTCATTATTTCATCATATATCTGTTACATATTTTAGTAAAAAAAAAAAAAAAAAAATGTCAACGCTCGTAATGCACCAGTTTGTTGATACTGCGCTAGGGGTTGATTTAAGGGATGAAAAGTTTTGAAATGAGTAGGGGCTGACTTTTTCCCTTTCTTATTCTTTCTCCACGAACCCACGTCGAGTATAGTCTATCTATGGTCAGACGGTCGTACACATCCTATCCAGAAGTTGAACAGGGATAGATTCGCTAGGCAGGAAGGAGATGAAGAGAGAGAGAGAGAGAGCTATCCTGGATTTTATGGATCGTCCAGCTCCATCATGCGCCATAAAAATACAATAAAAGGACTGTTACTTCGCGAAAGCATCAACCCACTCTAAACCACTGCGTGTCCTCGGGAGTTTGAGGACGAGGGGCGAGCTTTGCCGGGAGGGTGGAGGGAGAGGGTATGGGTTACTCGAAGAGGGCGAGTGACGGTAAGGGTGTCGCTGAAGGGGTACCCCCCCCCCC